GAAGAGCAGAGCTCAGCTCAGAGCTCAGGCCAGGTGAAGAACCTGTGAGGCTGTCCCTCCAAACCATGGCTACCACGACCTACTCAGCCAAAACTTCCCAGCTCTGAGTGGCCCACACAACAGGCCCTCAGGGTGAGGTCAGACTCCCATTATAAGTGAACACCAGTGATGATCAGAGTAGAGAGACCCTGGAAACACAGTCACCCACCTTCCCACCTCTAAGATGGAAACACCGTGGGCTCAGAGGTCTTCAGACAGATCAGCAAAGCTGGAGTGGGGCTGCGAGTGGAACCTACCTGACCTTATACTCCAGTTGAGGGCTGAGCAAGAGCTGGTCTTAACTGGTGCCGTGTCTCTGTGCTCCTTGCACATTTAAATATCTGGCTGGGAGACCCTCTGAGTCACTTGGTGTCCAGGCACATCCCTCCACACCCTCACCGCCCTTTCTCTCCATATGGGTTGCTGAGGTCTTACTCTGTGAACTGCTGGCACTCCCAGGATCAAGCCAGCATCTTGAGGTCACCTCGCCCCTGTGATGTCAGTGATACCGCCTGCAGGCCTCCACCCCACCTCTGTGATGACCCAGAGTCCCCTTTTCCAGTTTCTGGGAGTTAGAGCAGCTGGAATCCGCTGCTGCCCTGCCTCTTCTCTTATGCCAGCCCTGCCTGGCATCTTCCTGCTTGAGGCCTCCTATAGTTTTCCCTCCCAGCAGGTGCCAAGGCCCCACCTGACCGTCACCTGCAGACTCTGAGGATTTAAAAATCCAGGAAGACGCCCTAACCAGTTTGACTCAGTGGATAGAGCATCAGTCTGCGGACTGAAAGGTCCCAGGTTTGATTCCAGTCATGGGCATGTACCTTGGTTGCAGGCATATCCCCAGTGGGGGGTTTGCAGGAGGCAGCTGATCGATGTTTCTCTCTCATTGATGTTTCTGGCTATCTGTCTCCCTTCCTCTCTGTAAAAAATCAATAAAATATATTTTTTAAAAAATCCAGGAAGAGGCAACAGGAAGGGCCTGGATTAGAAAGAGGGACTCAGCCCTAGCCGGTTTTGCTCAGTGGACAGAGCATCCGCCTGCGGGCTGAAGGGTTCCGGGTTCGATTTTGGTCAAGGGCACACATCTGGGTTGCGAGCTCGATCCCTAGTAGGGGGTGTACAGGAGGCAGCCAATCAATGATTCTCTCTCATCATTGATGTTTCTCTCTCTCCCTTTCCTTTGGTCTCTGAAATCAATAAAAATATTTTTTAAAAAAATTAAATTTAATTTAATTAAAATAAAAGAAGAAGAAGGATGGACTCATTGTGAAATCTGGCACAAATCCCTTAACCTGCAGGGGACTCGTCAATTTCAGCGGTACAATGATGGGAGGGGGTAAGAATGAGCAGGATAAGGCCTTCTGCTCTGTGATCCCGAACAACATGGTAAAGTCCATAACTTTTAGAGAGACCCACACCCACACCTGCCCCAGACTGGTTCACGTAGGACTGACTTCTAGCTTCTTTGTAAGTTTATAAGGCTTCAGGCAGCTGGTCTCACCTCCGGGAGGCTCAGTTTCATCTGCGGATGTGGATATTGTCCACAGTACCTCACAGGTATTTCATTATCTCACAGCTAGTGAAACCAAGGCAAAGAGAGGAATCACAGTAATAGAATCTACTTACTACAGCAGTTCTCAACCTGTGGGTCGCGACCCCTTTGGCAGTCGAACGACCCTTTCACAGGGGTTGCCTAAGACCATCCTGCATATCAGATATTTACATTACGATTCATAACAGTAGCAACATTACAGTTATGGAGTAGCAACGAAAATAATTTTATGGTTGGGTCACAACATGAGGAACTGTATTTAAAGGGCCAGAAGGTTGAGAACCACTGACTCACTAGGATCACAGACAGTGCATGAGATAATGCATGCAAATCCCATACCTAACACCTTCATGACACTGGTTAAAAACTCATTTAACTAGCTTATAATAATAATGATGTTAGCATGATAAGGAACTTAGAGATCATCTACACCAGCAATTTTTAAACTTTTTGCCTTAAAAACTAACATATGGACCCTACAGTGGATATTTGTCATGTCTTGTGGCTGCCCACCATCTATGAACACCCCCTCCTCCACTCCCTCCTTTCTGCCGTGGGGAAGCAAGAAATGGACCTTCCCAGACTCCTTTGTAGCAGGGATGTGACCTGGGCTCTATCAGATTCATTTGCCGGCATAAGGATCAACTAGTTATAAAAGTGACTGCAGCAGCATGTGGGTAGTGAAATAGTAGTTAATATAATTATTACCTGTTCTCATCCGGAATAATCTGATCTCCTAGAAAATCAGGCTTTGAGACCAAATGTTTGCTGGCATAGAATGGCACCAAAGGCACATATTGGGGGTGGAGTGACATCTAAACGTATGAGAGAATTTAGAGGAATAAAAGAATAAGCTCAGAGTCATCATTTATTGGCACAAACATGATCAGAGAACCAGGAACTATCTGTGACTGAACTATGAATAATCCCTCATCTCTTGTAGCTGAAGCGATAAAGAAGCCAATAACAAAAACTAAAATCAAAGCTTAAAAATGTAAGTTGTCACATTACAATGCCAGTTAAATTACAGCCTTACTTCACACACGTGTGTGCGCGCACACACACACACCCCACAAACAAAAGATATCAAATGGCCGACATGCACATAAAGTGATACTCAACATCATCAGTCATCAGAGAAATGCAAAGTAAAACCACCATGAGATGCCACTTGTCCTCGCTAGCATGGCTAAGATGAAAGAGGCTGGCAATGCCAAGTGCTTAGGAGGATGCAGAGCAGCTGGAACTCCCATTCCTTCTGTTGGGATTGCTAAGACCACCTGAAGAACCTCTTTGGCAGTATTTACTTAAGCTAAACATACACCTACCCTATGACTCAGCAATTCCACTCTGAGTATATACCCAGAGAAGTAAGAAATGCCCCAAAAAACATATCCACCAAAGACATGTTCACAGCAAGTCTATTTACAACATCCCCAATTGGACACAACCCAGAAGTCCATCAACCATAGAATCTATATATATAAAAGGCTAATATACGAAGTGTCCAACTGTCCAACCGGTCGCTATGACACGCACTGACTACCGGGGGTAGACGCTCAATGCAGGAGCTGCCGCAACGCGCACTAGCCATTTACAGAGAAACAGCACCGTGGACCTGGCGCCAGCAAACCAACCCTTAGCTTCCCCCAAGTGGGACACAGGCCCCACCACCACCCTGGAGCGACACCCCACCAAACTGCAGCCAACACTGCCGAGACCCCATGGCACAAAATGTGGCCCACAGCCCAGCCCGGGCCAGAAACGGTCACTGTGGGCTCTGGGTAATGACATCACATAGCAACACCCAGCTTCCTCTCCCTAGTGACTAGCCTCCTTGGAGTTTCTTCAGCCCGGGAACATGACTTGCTTTATAGCCAGGTGGAAGCATTTTACACTGTAACCAAATGTTTATA